GGATCAGTTTGCCTTGTAGTTATCTCGAGATCTCAGTAAGGACCAGTCTACCTTGTATTTATCTCATGATCTCAGTAAGGATCAGTCTACCTTGTATTGTCTCTATATCTCAATCAGGATCAGTCTACCTAGTATTTATCTCAAGATCTCAGTCAGGACCAGTTTACTTTGTATTTATCTCTAGATCTCAGTCAGGACCAGTCTACCTTGTATTGTCTCTATATCTCAACCAGGACCAGTCTACCTTGTAGTAATCTCTATATCTCAACCAGGACCAGTCCACCTTGTATTTATCTTTATATGTCAGTCAGGACCTACCTACTTTGTATTTATCTCTATAACTCAGCCAGGGACTGTTTAACTTGTATTCACCTCTATGTCTCAGTCAGATCATCTCTATGTTTATTTAATCCTTATCACTTAGTCATGATCTGTCCATCTTGTACTTATTTCTAGCTCTCAGCCAGGACCACCCCATATTTGTAGTCCTCTTTATCTATCAGTCAGGACCTGTAAGAGTCAATGTTTATCTCGACCTCCCAGTCAGGACCTCGCTCCCAGAATTCACCGTCGACGTCATGGCTGTGTTGGCGTCAGTTCCGGCTGGGCCTGCCGCGAAGATGGCGGCCGCCAGCCCCGATCCGCCGCCGTTAAACGGCCCGGAGGAGCTGATGGAGCCGCCCGGTGAGGAGGCTGAGGGCCTCAGCGTCTCAGAGGAGGTGAGACTGGGATCAGCGGGACAGATGGGCGGCGGTACCGAGCGGGGTCGGGACCTCCAAGTGGGATCGGGTCAATCCCAGACACTGCAGCCGCGGGACTTTCAAACCAGGGACTGACAGAGAAAGAGAGATCAGGGTCAGAGTGTAATAATATCATCAATAACTAAATAAATAACATCCTGGTGCTGAGGGAATAGGACTGACTGAGACAGGTCTGTCCCTGTATAACACTGGGGTACAGTACCGGTGGGGACAGGTCTGTCACTGTATAACACTGGGGTACAATACTGGTGGGGACAGGCCTGTCTCTGTATAACACTGGGGTACAGTGTTGGTGAGGACAGGTCTGTCGCTGTGTAACACTGGGGTGCAGTGCTGGTGGGGACAGGCCTGTCGCTGTGTAACACTGGGGTGTAGTGCTGGTGGGGACAGGCCTGTCGCTGTGTAACACTGGGGTGTAGTACTG